CTATAACTATAGAGAAAAAGAGCCAAGGAAACGACGACAAGATATGGTAGTTTTATTCCTATTTGTTTAAACACAATATAAAAAAAAAAAGAAAAAAGAATTACTGAAAATATTAATAAAAACTCATGGTTAATCGGTCTCATGAACAACATGAAAAGACGAAAAATAATGTCATTAGATAAATGAATGATCGGAAGAATAATTCATCGAATATAACATTTATTTGATAATCATCACAAAAAAGAGATTCATCAAACAAAAAATGAAGACAAAGAAAAATTATCTTTCTTTAGTTTTTTTTCGAATTTTAATCATGAAAATAATTAAAAATAATCAACATACCATAATCATACGACGGATCAAAATCTGGTGGAAACCATGAATTACCCCAATACATCGGATTTTGTACTTGACTACCACTAGAAAAACCATGTCCACCATAAGATCCACCAGTATTAAGTGTACGTTGTGATGAATAATGACCACTTGATTTACACTCGGCTTTATTAAAAAGCACGAAAAATATTCTTATAAAAATAAATACAATTGATGATAATTGTTGTACCATAATTTTGAATTGATCAACATTTCTGTACGTAAAAAAATGAAGAGAAAGAGAATAATAAGAGAGATTAAAAAAAAAAGAAAGAAGTCTATCTGAAATAAAGAAGCAAAGAGCGATAGAAAGTAATGCTCGAAGCTATATTGTATATTATGCTGAGCCATTTTAATTTTAATTTACAGGTGTTATATCACATCATCAATTTGAAGTTGATATAAAGTGAAACATGCAACAGACATCCTTTTATTAAATTGCTCGATGTCGTCTCGAAATTATCAAAATTCTTTTAAATTCTTCTATGACTAGATGTTAATCGAAAATATAACACTAGTCAATGAATAAGTAGATGCTTGTCGATGATCATAGTCTGTTGCGCTTTACACACTATAGAAATGATGAAGATGTAGAATAAAATAAATGAAAATGAAATTATGTGGAAGACTTTTTCTTTCTTTCTGTTTGTCTTTCTCTATCTCTTACATATTCTTATTCAACATCGAGCTTGATCATAATCAGTTAAATAGCCTCAAGATAAAATGTTCTCCGATAGAGTTGATTTATAAAAATCGTTTCGGTTGCATTCGATATAAATGATTTTATCAAACAAGACATATATTTATCAAAAAAATTGTTTGATCTTTCTTTTTCATAATACAAGATGAGTAAATAGAAATATTTAAATGAATAATGAATCACAAAAAAAAAAATGATTAATTCAAATAAAGAACAATTAAATTAATATACGAATAAATAGAGTAAAATGTCGTCTTTCATTTTCATCTTTTTTTTTTTTGCTAGTCTACGTACGATCAATGATGTCATCTCAACTGGCAACATCAGACGATAGCAAAATATTAACAAATACGATTTGTTTGAAAAGAAAGAAATAACTTAGTTTCTTCTACTTAATCTGGCAGATGAAACTAAAGACATGTCTCATTTGTGTTCTCTAAAGTAGACAGAAAGGATTCAACTTAAAAAAGTTTTCATATATTAAACAATACTAGTAAATGATGACATTTACATAAAGAAAATAAAATGATTTCTTTGAGATTGTATAAATAAAAAAGATTTACTTAAAAAATATCTCGAGAAATAAATACAAAGTTATTTTTTCTTAAGAAAAATGGTATTAGTTAAGATTGTTGATTCTTTCTTCTTAATCATATATTTTCCTTGAATGATTTCTAAACATGTTACTACGATTATTTCATACATTTCGAGTGCCCCCTTTTTTTTTGTTATATAGAAACGGAAATTCAATGGTTTATGTATGTTTACTGTATTCCTTTCTTAAAATATGTTTATAAGGAGAAAAAAAAACACATCATTGAAAATCTCCCTAGTGGATTCATAGTTAGATATTTTTTTGTCTAGAAGAAATACGCCAATATTTGCAAGTATAAATATTGTTTCCGAAAAAAAACAAATTTATCTAGTAAAATCTTATATTTGAACTGTATAATCTGTACTAATCATAATATAGTTTATTTTAATTCTTGAATTCTTCTAATTATTATTACGTTAAATTTCAAGTATAAATAGATTTAATTACTTTTACGAATAGAACTTCTTCTAGTACTTTTTTTTTTGTTTATCTTTGATGTCAATTTTTATAAAGAACATTGACTTTTTGAATAGAAAACAATCGATATATTTCAATATTGAGAATAGAAAAAGTTTCTCTGTTTTGGAAATGTCAAACATTCCTTGCTAATAGTATGATTAGAAGTTCGAGAAAACATCATGTTGTTTTGGTTATTTTTAATGTCATTTGAATTAATATTGACGTCTATCGAACCAAAGACGGAAGCATTTCCTCTCAAAACAAAATTCATCTTTCCTATTGTCATTTATAGGATATACTTAGTAGTAACACAATCATATGGATTGTTTAATGTGAAAATAAATGCAAGTTTTATCAAATAATCTTGCGTTGTTTTGTAAATGAGTCGTTAACTATTAGTACTAATGAAAAATATTATATTTTCATATTTCAGTAGTAAAGTCCAATACTTTCGATTAATCAATAAACTTAATATTGAATTGTATTTGTGACAGATCAAACTTTATATCCATTTGAATTTACCATTTCATTCAACTATTCGATGTTTTGTTCGAAATAGTCACCATCATCTTTTCGTTATTGTAACTTTTCGGAGTGATTATCTAATTCGTTTTTCACAGTTTTATTATTAGGTATTATTAATTTAATGAATTTTTAATGAACTAGAACAGCTGTCTGTTTGACAATTTTCAATGTTTTCTCTTGCCATCGATTGATTTCATTGATAAATCTATTCAATTTTTGGTCAGATTGATGCAGATAGGATATACAGATAATTTAATGTATTAAATAAAACCTTTTTTTTTTTTTATTTATTATAAATTTGTTTACACATATATAATTCAACTGATGGCAATGTTTATTAAAATGTGTCGAACGAAATCCATGGATACATTTATCGAATTGAACTACACCAATTTTTTAACAATGAAAGCATTTTTATTACATTGATTTAGTCGTTTGAAATAAAACTATGTAGTTATTTAGTAGCTTTGAATTTCGACAAAAAAATTAATTTTAATGTGTTATTATAATAGAATAAAACAAAAACATCAAAACATGCCTGTTTTTTCTGATATATCAATAATTCCTGAAAAAGAAAACATGTCATCTGTTTTGCTCAACTTTAGACATTATCATACGTTCTTTTTTAAGTATGTCATCAATGTAGTATAATCGATCACACATTTTTCATCATTCAATATTTAATTAAAGATTTTGCTAAATATTCAAAAAATTAACGACATCAAATGATGTCTATCTTTTTATCTTATGTTCTAATACTACAAAATAAGACATAAATTCCAGTTTTTTGTTTTTAGCAATAAGGAAAAAAAAGATATCTGTTCTTTTGAATTAATATTTATGAAATGATCTTGAACTAAAAATAAATAAACAAAAGTTTTGAACACATCGACGATATCGAATATTATTAGTAATTCATTTCATCCTTACATACTATGTAAAACAGTACAGAGACAAATGAAACTCATATCTAGTTCAATACGGTTGATAAACTAATCAAACATGAATGCAATGAGAACCAGATAGGATGAGCTCGGAAGCTTAAGCAGAGATATTTAAGTACGGGAAAACTTCAGCGCCGAAAAGTTAGGCAAACAAAAAAATTTAGGTAAATATAATGCCTATTGAAAGATCAATGACAGTAGTAGGTGAGAATGTTAGTCTTCTTTTCGTTGCCATCCACGTCTTTCAAGTGTTTGTTATCCAAATTTTCTCTTCTGTAAGGGCGATTCAAAATTCTTCGAGAGTAAATATCTATTTTTAGCAGCACAGACACATAGTACGTAATCTAATAACTACAAACTCAACAAGAGTCAACTCAATCTTGGTAGAGACACCACCATTTTGAGTCTCGCATTGGATAAAATACTAGCTTCTAATTCAAAATTAAAAAAACAGAAAAAATGAGATTAAGTGTGTCATCAAAACAAAATTTTGATAAACATCTTAGAATGTATATTCTCGTTGTAAATGACTAGACGCTTTTGCTTTTTAAAGAAAAATGAAAAAAACAAAATACGAAACGTTCGTCAATGACTAATATATTGAGATTTGATTAAGAAAATATTTTTTCTTTGACGAATTAGATAACCATTGAAGATATTTTATCCATATTAAATATTATTTCAATTTCTGACGTGATGAGGATTACAATACATACATACATAAACTTTAGTCTTGCTTTTTCCTGTCTGTCTAATAGTGGCAACATGGTGTAGATCTCTTCATCAATCTATATCACACAACAAACCCCCAAAAACCTCTACTTGCTGATGGTAGAGAATATTTTGAATAGGAAAAAAACAAACTTCATTTTCTTTAAAATTTTTTCAACATAACCAGTTTTTTGTAACTTCAATATTTTGCAGATAGAGCGATGTAACGAAATGATTTCAAACACGATGAAAAAATATATCAAAGAAAAAGATAAAAGAGTCTTTTCATTCTAATATTTCTAAAGATATCAATAATTTATCTTACTTTGACTAAATTATTAGTAGAAAAAAAATAATTCTCAAAAAGCAAAATTAATATTTCAATAGATAAAAAAACGTCTGATCTAATTTTTCTTTTTTATGTTTCAATTTTATTCTGAACACATATAATAGAATAGAAATAATAACACGAAATATCATCCAAAAAACCAATAGCAAAAGAAGAGAAAAAAATATATATATATATATATCTCAAGTGCTTAAAATAAAACAATACGTTTTCTAGCATACACTTTGTCACATAAACATAGGACACATTCAAAAAAAAAAAAAAAGAAAAGAGAACAGTAACAAACAAACAGACTATTTTATACATCAAGACAAAAAGGAAAAAAGAAATATGAAATTTCACCTATAGTTTATAGAATCGAATTGAATTCACATCTCGTACAACTAAATGTTTTCCATTTTCACGTCTTTTACCTCGTTCATCCATAATACAAACATTATAAATTGAATCTGCACAACGTTTTGATGTTGGTAATGATAATTTTTGTGCTAAAGAAAAAGATGAAGATATATTGTTAATTATTTTTTTTTCTAAAGATAAACAAAATATCATACCATCTTTTCCATTATAATGTAAATGAACAAGATATGGTCTTCGTATAGCAAATAACCAACCTTGTTCACCTGGTAAAACTTCCATTTGAAAATTTTCACCAGCAAAACGAAGATGTGTTAAATCAATATCAATACGTCGTTGTGGAATAAGTTTTTGATATTTTTCATTTATATTTATTGAAAATAAATGAAGACACCAATGACGTTCATGTCGAGCTAAAAAATGTAATATTCCATTTGCATAACGCATTGATGCAATACCACAAACACCAGATTCTTGATCATACTATACAAAATAATAAATAAATAAATAAATAATATTGAAAATTAAAACAAACATTTTCTTGATGATTTTGTTCATCTTCATCATTATATATCGGTGGTGGAAATAATTCTCTTGGTGTCCATCGTTTTAAAAGTGACCATGTTGCTATTGTTGATATATACCATAAATCAAGACTTGCAGCTGGATATTCATATGCAAGAAATACATATGATTGTTGATCACAAGCAATATGAGCTAAACTATGTCTTGATGATGGAACTTCATATTCACTTATTTGATTTATTGTACCACTTTCTGGTTCACATTGATATACACGATGATAACTTTATAAAAAAAAATAAGAATCAATTATCTTTTCTTTTATTTTTAAAATTCTTACGTAATAAAAAGAAAAACTTGTAATTGTTCATGCCATGTCATACTTTGAACAGAATCCATTTGTGTCATTGTATTAAATTCTGGTAACATTAATAAACATTGTTCTTCATATTGATTATATATAGTAAGACAACGCATAAATTGTGATAAACGATGACCTTTATATGTTTGACACCAATCATCAGCTATAATATAACGTCCATTAGAACATAATTGATATAAACCAGCACGATTTTGTGTTTGAAATGTTTGTGTTGGTATTGATGATGATAAACGATTATAAACAGTTGATGATAATAATGGTTCATCAGGTGGAAAAGCATGTGATTGAGATAATAAATATTGATTATAATCAATTGTTTTATTTAAATTATTATCATGTTGAGATATAATTGATGAATTTGAAATAAATGATCCACATAAAGACTAAGAATAAAATAAAATAAAGAAAATCAAAAATTTTAAAATATTTTTTTTTTTAAACATTTATTCACACTAGCTGATGTTGAAAATTGAATTGATTCATTTTGAAAATTTTTTTTCATTGAATTATACCAATCAAGTAAACGTTGTTCACAAATATTTTGTGGATCTAATGAAGGTAAACGTCTAAATTTTATTTTATTGATTATTAAAATGAAAATTATTTACAAAAAAAAAACAATTTACTTTGAAATCATATCTTGTATACGTTGATGAACAACATGTTGTTGATCATTTGAATTACCATAACGTGAAAGCCATGAAAATATAAAATCAATTTGACAATAATATTTTCCACAATGAAGACAACATGCATTTGTTAATGTTGATGTTGGTTTTGTTAATTCAGAAGATATTGATGAATCAAGATATGAATTCATCATTGTCTAATAAAAAATAAAATAAAATAAAATTCTTTTTAATTGAATATATTATTCTTTCTTTTTATTTTCAAATAATATACCATTTGTCGACGAGAAAATGAATGTGATAAAGCTAAATCATTTGATGAATTATTATTTGTATTCTGTTGCTTCATATCGTTCATTCATAAATCGATACTCGAATATAAATAAATAGTTCTATTTAGTTTTCTAATCGACTCTTTTCTCTTTCTATTTCGAAAATAATATAAATTATATTTTTATTTCATTCATAAAGAGAAGAAAAGAAACAGAACGATGAAAATATCTATATTGGACATGCACACATACTGACAAAGAGAAAAGACAGATTATCTTATTTTACTCGTTCTATATCTCGTCGATACTGATAGAAATGTAAATGGGTATCAAACGGCTATTTCAGAGAAAAGAGAAATAAGTAAACATGTGCTTTGTTTTATGATATCATTGCCGCTATTTAGTGTTTCTTTTTTTTTTTTTACTTCCCTAAAATATATTCTATCTATTGGAGATAAGAGCAAAGATATATTACTCATATTTTGGAATTATTTAACGAGAAAATATTGTTTGTATAAATTACATTGGTTATTCTATTTTATTTTTATATTGTACGATTCAAATTATTCATGTAAGAGGATCTATAGTGAAAAACTATATCTATGCAATTATATAAAGAAATCAGTATAATTGATCGTATTTCTTATAATTCTTTTTTAAAGCTAACATCAGCAAATTTTCTCGATCGAGAGAGAAAAAAAAATAACACATTCTTTTCTTATCTATCTGATTTTGATAGACATGACTTTCTTTTAAATATATATAAGACATAAATTTGTTTAATCATTAGCATTGATTCTTGATTTTCAATACATTAGAATATTCACATGTATATAAAAAGATGCAATGTTCATTTGTTTATCTTTTTCTTAATGTCTGCTCTTCATTATGATCAATCATAGATTACTTTTGATATTGATAGATATTTCTTTTTAAAAATGATGATTCTTATCTATGATAGTTCAAAAAAAAAATATTCCCTTGCTATGTTAAAATAAAATGTATCGCATTTATTGGCCACTTGAAGTGTAGGAGTGAAAACTTGTTGAATTACAACTTTAGCATTATAATTGATTAACTTTTGAGTAAAAGAATTAACTCAGTTATTAACCGCAGTGGTAACTATCAACTATTTAAACCATTTCCCACCCTCGAAAATCGGTCTCGGGTTAGGAACATCCAAATGCCATGAAAATTTGAGGATACGTTGGGCCTGTAAAAGGATGTCTGTGGTAGAATTTTCAGCCTCCTATCCTGATGCATAAGGAAGATACAAACCAAACAAGGATCGAAAAATGGCTTATCGTGTCTTCAAAAATTCTCTGTGAGTGTTCATTCACAATATGCTTGATTGTTTTTTTTTTGTTTGAAAGAGCATGTCCAGATGTAGTGCCTATGAGGGCCCGTTTTTTTACTCTTATCTTTCTGGAGGAAAAAATGCCTGGTAAGTTCATCCACTGAAAAACCTCTCAAAACAAAGGGCTTTCATAGGCACTGTATTTTTTGATGTTCTTTCAAACAAAACAAAAAAAAAATATTTGACGTTATATCGGATTATAGTTGACTTTCGCTGGAGATGTGTCGTTCGACCACTATTTTGAGAAAAAACGAAAAAGATTTTTGGATTTTTCCAAAAACCGCTGGTTTTCCTGATGGGGGTTGTCAAAAATCTTGAAAATTTTTCGAAAAAAATGAAGTATCGCAGAAAAGTTTTTATCGTTTAGGAAAAAACAAATGACAAGCTACCTCTTCGTATATTTATCTCAATTTCAATGATTCTGATGAAAAGTAACTTTTTTGAGGGAGGGAGGGAGCCTTAACTTCTTCGTTCGTTGGACAGATTTAACTAAATGGAAATAGTCATCATTTTGATTTGACTGACACATTTGATAGCATCGATAAAAATATATGTATTTCAACGTTCTTTACTTGAGATATGAACATTTATAAATTTTTCTGTAAGTGTTTTTTATATATTTCTAGTTACATTTACTTGTATTTATACATTGAGTATGATGCTGAGACGATGAATTCTTTATTGTGCACTATTAAGAATTTTCTCGATGTTGATAACTACGAGCAAAAACATCGTAATTATAGTCAGATTTTTGAAAATATAGATATCAAACATAAGTGGTAATTTCAAGTTTAAACTGTGTCTCGAAAAGTTTCATAAAAGCGTAAATTGGTCAAAACTTGCAACTGTTATAATTTTTGATTATTGCTATGATTCTAAGCTTTATTCAGAATTAGTTTTGTTATTATCACTAATCAACATAATCCTCAATATTGCTGATGACTTTCAAGCAATTAAAAGTATTAATAATATTCGTGCCCGTAAATAAAGTACACTGACACTAAGTATAAATGTGTCATCATCTATTTGTCGTTTCTGAATAACTTAATAAGCATTTCTCTTTGCTTCTATTTTATAAAAAGATAATTTTATCTTCAAATTTTCTTTAACTTCTCTTCTCTATTCATCGATACATTAATGAGAAACAATGGAAAAATATCGTAATAATACAAGTACTGATATAAATGATAATGGACCTATCAGAAAGAATAGAGACTAATCTAATGTATTGATTTCATGTTGAAATAAAACTCATCTAATTATACTGATAAAGAACATTACCTAAATTTATTCATAACATATATTGAAAATAACTGTCATCTTAGAGAATCAAAAAAAAAAGAATTAAAGCAGTTTCATTATGTAAAATTTGGTTCTCAAATGGTCATAATTTAAAGATGATCATTAATCATACACAAACAACAATACATTATCTTACACATACATTCATGCACTCGACGCATAAACATAAAAATATTTGGCTTGCACTTAAATACATAAAAAAAACACTTATGAAAAAATTTATGAATGCTCATTTTTTGAATTAAAGAACGTTGAACTACGTATATTTTTATCTATTCTATTAAATATGTCAATTAAATGTGTTCAAAGAATGAAGAAATTAATTGAGTTATATTTGTTGATAACGATCATCAAAGTTATAATCATTTTAATTTTTTACCATTTTTCTCCACTAGTAACTTTTTATAAAACAGCTTTAACTCCTACACTGATCGCTTGTACTAGCATCACAGATTCTACCATGAAAATGTGTCACAGCCGGAATTAGCCTTATCCTATTAACTGACATTCATGCACCGTTTTGCTTTGTGTGCACAGGTATATATAATCAAACTAGAAAATTAGTAATTATTCGATTTTACAGAAAAAAAAAACAGACATGCGGAAAAGTAGATTCGAACGATGTTTTCAAAATGTGTTATACAATGTGCGTAAAATAGAATACATACGATTCATTTTATATTAGTGTGAAATAGGAATGTGTTTCGTTGTCGGTAGAATTTTGCCACCTCAATTGAAGATTTGAACTTCTACAATTTTGTCATTATATTTTTCAAAAGCAGAAAAAAAAACGTGTGAAAAGAAGGTGCAAATGAACGTAATAATAAAGAAAGAATTTACAAACACATTCATTTATACATGGTGTTCCAAAAGTCATTTATTTTAGAGAATTATAATAGAGATGCAAACATATGTATTAGTTCACTGCAAAAATAAATAACAATACACATCTATTCGACTTTGACTCGCATCATATGAAGTAAACGCAAAAACAAATCATATCATGCTTTAACAATGATATGATCAACTCATATTTACTAAGTCAATGTATAGATGAGATTATGAAAAAGACCACATATATTTATGATATTCCGATCTTTCAAAAGTATAAACATGTATAATAAAGATATTTTAAAACATTAGATAATTCAGAATTATCCTTTTAATAATTAATATCAACGATATTATCTTCATTGAATCACAACAACATTAAATCAATTTTATTTCTAATAAACTACAATACGTTATATAAATCATTAATTTGTATGTCAAATTTATTCAATATCTCTTCGACAAGATGACTGTTCTTCATTGAATTCTTCCGAATAATATAAATATCGTTTAGATAAATTGTAACAACCACTATTTGAAATCATATAAGGATATTTTTCGGTTGCACATAAGTTTTTATTTTTCGAGCTTTTTATCTTGGCTGCTCTTTACTCGCTTTCATCGAATCAGTTTCACTAACATACTTTTATAATACAGAGAACATCCCGATTGGCTTTCACTAGTTGAATGAAAGATCGGATATAATCAGATTCTTGTTATTATCACTGAAGAACAATGTACCTAAAAAGAATATCTACAAGATGAACAAAAACGAAATGCATCAAGAGCAGTTATCCAATCAATTGATGATCGATTACTTCTGCAACAATAAGTAGGATATTAGTTTCTACTAGAAAAGAGATTACTCATCGAGCACTAGTACAATAATTATTTGTTAAACTATTAATATCTTGCATTTTAATAATAAGATGTGTTTCATCGTTAAGCTAATCAAGGGATCAGAAGCAAACGAAGTATAATTGATATTACTTGGAAAATTAAGTTCACAACGATGTGCAGCATCAATCAAGTTTGTCGGCGTATCGTATAGTAATTTACATGAAAGTTTTTTCGTACCAAATGACAGGTTTATTAGTTTCATAGGAAATATCTCATACAATGGTCTATTTTATTTCAATCTAAATTTAAAAGAAAAAAATAAAACACTTAATTTCAAACTGAAATGGAGGAAAGGCTTGCGGATCTATCGAATTAGTATAGTATTATATACATACTGTATATCCTCTATTTTTTTAAGTTATATAATATCATTTACATTCTTGAATGAGAACATATTATATAAATAAAGTCGAGGACGAGAAACTGAGGATGCTTTGATTATTATGAACATGTTTCGTTACTTCTTTTGTTCGGTTGTAAGATATTTGTCACATGATGTTTTGAGAGATGCGTTACCTTTGTTTAAACACGCTAGAATATTTTCATTAATTAATAACTTGATTGATGAAATAAATGTTCAACAAGGAAAAATAACTATACCTGTGTTTCTTGTCGAAATTGAGACACTTCTTTCTTGTGTATGGCATAAATATATCGTTCTTGTGATTTAGTTGTTTTTTTTTTGAGAATATCAACCTACTTAGTTTAAATTTTTCCTTTTTCGCTACCAAATTTCTTTCAAAACTTGTCATTAAACATTTCTGTGATGATAAGCATAGATATTGTTATTGAACTTATTCAACGAAAACTTTCCATATTAAGATTATATAAATAGCTTGAAATATTGTTTTGAACTTGATCTCTACAGACAATTATCTATCATGTAAGTGTGTATAGAGATATACATTTTAGTCTTTATGAATGATAGTAATGATTAAACTCATCAGAGATCATTAACAACGATGAAAATTTAGAGAAAGAGCAAGATTTGGTAATGATCAATTTAGTGATAGAATTACCATGTGAAGAGAATTATTTCGAAGGTTTGGAATTGATGAAAGACTATACAAAAGACTTTCTGAATGCGTTATTCGAACAGAGATTGTTTGAAAATGAACTGGACGTATTTAATTGTTAAGTTTATCAATATCCAATTGAACATATACATCAGAAGAACAATTGTTACAAGCTCCATTTTTACGATCTGTCTTCTCCTAGCTTCTTTTTCTATTCACTACAGTTTTTCACTTAAAGTCTTTTAATCCTTTCGTCTTTTATGCTACATAGATCACAATCCTCTCTTCATTGGTTCCTTTCTTCTTCCATGAATCTAATATTACTCTCTTCTTGATTCAAGATTGTCTTTTTTCGTGTAGTCTAGGTGTTGTGTATGTTTTATCGAACAAAAAGGAAGTAGACTCATCCGGCAAACTCTCTTATAATAGTGGAAAATTTCATTACCACTTTGTTGTGGAAATGAATATCTATTACAGCAGATGATAATTTGATACGAAGAAAATAAATAGTCTTAATAATGTCATAATCTACGTATTACTCGTGTTTCTGCTACGTTATATTAAGACGCTCAACGCATGTGCTGTTGTTTAAATGATGACTAGAAAAATAACTCCAATTTATCTTTTCCAAATAGTTTTCATAAAAAATCAAATTTTATCGTTAAACATGATTTTCTATTAGAAAATTAGCAGAAAAATTATCACAACGAGACATAATTTGATTACAAAATAATTTTGTAGTTTTGTTTATAAAACAACCCAAATAAAAAAAAAATATTCTTATATATGAATAAAAAAATAAAAAGACCATCACAGTTATTCGTTTTTGTATACTTTTTATGAAAAATAATCATCATAAGTATGTAAAAAGTATCGATCATCAATATTATCTTCATCGGAAATCGATTTTTTCATATGTAATACATCGACTTTCTTGAGTAGTTGAATAATTTGACTATAAAAAAAACAAAATTTCATGTAATATTCAAAATAAAATTGCAAAAAACACATACTCAACATTTTCATGAGCAAATTCACTTTGATCATGAGAAAGAATTTCCTGTTTTATTCTATCTTCTAAAATATCAAGTTCACCTAATAATGTTTCATTTTGTTTATTTGTTTTTATTGCGTCCATCTAAACCAAAAATATCAATTAATATAAGAAAAAAAGGACTAATGGATATAAAAGTTTAATTATACTTCTGTATCTCGAATAGCTTGTTGAAGTTGTGTACAAACAGATATTGGAACAAAATTTTCAGTTAATTCTTGTTTTTTTTTTGTCATTCGATCGAATAAATCAAATATATTTTGTCTTATATCCTCAATTTGTTCTACTTGTGTTTTAATTTTTACTTCTGTTGATACAACTGGAATTTCCATTGTTGGTGCTAAAAAATTTTTTCAATTTGTATCTTTATATTTAATAATATGGAATTTAATTTAAACCTGCTGCTTCAGTTTTTATTCTAATTTGTTCTTGTTTTATTCGTTTAAGTTCTTCATTCAATATTCGATTTTGTTCTAATGCTTGTCTTGTTTGTTCTTCGATTTTATCAATATCAAATAATTCTGAATCAGCTGTTGAAAAATTCGGTTGAGTTTGACGTAATCGTTTTAATTGTTCAGCAACATGAGTACCATATTCAGGTTGACTGGTTAATAAATGATCAAGATAAAATTCATATTCATCCTAAATCAATGATTTTTCATTATCAAATGAAAAAGAACATATTAAGAAATCTTACTTTGATACGTTCAAGAATAGGACCAAAGGCAACTGAACCTTCGATCAATTGACTCATTGCTTCACCATATGCTTGTAGACGAGTTAAACTAATTGTTTGACCTTTAGTTTCACTTTCAATCGTTATTAATTTCTATATTAAAAATTAATTAAAATAAAATTTATTTTCATGAAAAAACAAAATAAATTTACTAATATAAGATTTTGTTCAACAAAAGCAACAAAATCTTCACTATATCCCAAACCATGTAAATTAACATCATTTTTTTGTAAAACTAAATCATTGAATGTTCTCATTTTATGCACTCGTTGTTCTTCAGATAAATCTATTGAAAATGTTGGTACTTGAATACGTTCATTTTTTATTGGTGGTAATCGTTCACTGGTTATTGATGATGATAATCGTTCATCAAACTAATTTAATCATAGATTTTTAATCAATCATTTGATTTTCTCATATATATGAATAGAAGAAAAACAAAACTTACATTTGCTGTTGGTTTTAGTGTTTTTTTCATTGGAATTTCTGGTAAAGTTGTATAGGTAAAATCTACTAAACTATTTTTCATTTGTTCAACATTGGATGAATATGTTTTAAGACGATGAGCTGGTCGTAATGTTGGATGAGGTTTTTGAGAAGATGACCAACATGATTTTTTCTCTTCGTTAGTTGTTGGACGTGGACGATAAAGATTATTTTCATTTAAATGTCCTGTTGTTAAATCACGAATGCTTTGAAGTTGTTCACGATTAATTGAATTACAAATCTCTTTTATTTGAGAAGACATATTTATCAATATTAAAATAATTCAGGGTAAATATATATCGATAAATTAACAATGCCATATTCATGAACTAAATCGAAGAGGTCATTAACAACAAACATTTATAAAAATTTTCCTTTTAAACATAAGAAATTTATATTATAAAAAATAATTAATATCTAAATATTCTTCAATAATTTTTTTTTGAAATTATTTTAATTAAGTAAGATGTCGCTATAGTTTGATGCGTGACTGAATAGATTTTCTTCTAATACAACTAATTCAATTATGACATGAAATATTATCTAGAAATCATAAAAAACGGATAATTTTAACCATTCTTTGATGTTTATTCGAAACAATATTGAAACGAAAAGTTGTCAAGAATTTAATTAATATATTCTTCTGTATATTTTATGCTATGATTCTTTTGTTAAATTATTGGGTCTAGAAATTAAGATTATTGTTTTCTATATTTCTATTTATTGATTAAATTTATAGAAGACTTTTTAAATAGAATTGTTTTTAATTGACTTTCTCTATTTCACTTATAGTCATCTGAAAGTTAAGTGAATTGTTTTTTACATGTGTACTTTAAAATTGGACTACAGCAGTTTATTTATCAGCGAATACTTGAGGAAAAAAAAAAGAAGAAAGAATAGAACATCATCAACTATCAACAGCAGTTGTTCAACATGCTTTTTTTTTTTTTACTACTACACCTCTAATTGTAATGATGCGATGCCTGATGCGAGAGAATAGACGGCGATGGATGATTGTCGTCCAGGTAACTCATTCCTTTTCATGTTGCATGGGAAAAAAAAAGCGAGAACAGAAAAGGAAAGGAATAAAGAAAGGTGGTTGTGTGTCACTATACTAAGAATCGCGTATGCGGTAAAAAAAAAAGAACGAAGCGAGAATTGTGCTCCTCTTCTTTTCATTGTTGACATTATTAAAAAGAAAACGATGTGGGAATCAGCAAATACAACAGTTACAAATGCGCCTGGTTATACTTCTCAATTATCATTTTATGAATATCCACCACATAAACCATATATTAATTCAATTTATCAACCATTAAGACCAACACATACATTGTCAAAAACGGTTACTTTACCTGAATCCAATCGAGATCATTTATTAACAGCATTACAATCTTTATCATTGAGAATAAAAACGCTTGAAACTGAACGCGAGGTAAATAAGAAAATAAGATTTTCTTTTTTTTTTGTTTTGTTCATCGAGTATAATGATCAAAGATTATCAGAGGTTATTCATCTATGTAAGAAGAAAAAAAATATCTAAAAGTGTTGAATCAAATTACTCAATTCTTCTGCAAAAGTATTACAATTCATTTTTATAAAATATTAAAATATTACTCATATAACATACCAGAATCATCGCGTCTGAAATTTCATCTTATAATAAACTTTTTCTTTCTTTCTTTATTTCTATTGAAGAGAGCTGAATTAAACTTACGTGAATTAACAGATAATATACATTGTCCTCGAAATTCTCGTGGTGATTCACAACGTACTCATGATAAACAACTTAAAGAAGCTGAAGAAAATTTTCATCATCTTCGAGATCAACACAATGGCGTTCTTGACATGATGAATGAATGTCGACCTCGAAAAACTCGTTCAAAACGTAAAAAAAAACAATCATCTCCAGATGATCATAGTTCTGATACTGCAACAACAACAAATTCTGAAGGACGACATTTTCATTTAAATATGAATACAGTACCATTTATTCTTGGTAGATCAACAGCACCAAGTCATAATGTTCAATCAAATGTACAAAATGTAATTATATAATATTCATAAAAAAAAAGAAGAAAATTTTTCATTTTGTTTTTGTTTAGGTGATTGCTCTTTTAAAAAATCATAATCATCAATTATGTTTATCATCTAAAGAATATTCTGAACTTCTTCATCCACATGAAAAAAGTGATTTACCTCCACATTCATATCTTTATCTTGATCATTATAATAAATCATCATCAACACGGCCATCATCAGCTTCACCAGTTCGTGCTGTTCGTCGTCCAATAGCAACAACAACAACAACAACAACAACAAGACGATCATGTTCAGCTTCCCGTCGACCACAAACTACAACGATTTCTGATAAACAATGTTATTCACGTTTGAAACATCTTCGTCATGAATTTGCTACACTTGCACGTGAACATAAACGATTAAATAAATCACGAACAAATACAAGAGAATTAGAAATAATAAATCGACGAATGGAAATTATTCTTGATGAATTAGAACGTTTACAAAAACAAATAAAAATTTCATTAAAACGATCATCAATAAAAGATCAAGATAAACTAGAAAAAAATGATACACCATTAGAAACATTAAGAAAAACAAGATTACTTCAAATTCTTCTTGGTGATCAAACAAATAAACAACAATATCGAGGACGTTCTCATCGAACAAGACAAAATTCAAATGACTAAATTAAACTTATTATTTTATATCATAAATATATATTGATTATAATTGTATTTTACAGGATAGAATAGTATTCTTCGTTGCTTAAAAAAAATATTGTTTTCTTTTTGTTTTTTAAACACACAAAAAAAAAAAAAAAAAAAGATAGTTTCATAGATTTAGATAAGATTAAAACAAATCTATTACATTTCTAACAAAGACAAAAAAAAAAAAAGAATGAAGAAAACATTTAAAACATTGTTCATTTTACAATAGAAATCTTTTCAAAGAAAAAAAATGATTGTTGTCTTAACAATAATTTTAAAGAAGGCTTCATGTTCAATAACAATCAATGGTTAGACTACACTTTCAATTTCATTTAATAAATCACCTATATTTCAAATTCACATATGTTCATATTTTTAAAAGCAAATTTGTTGTTATATGATAATTTCTTATTAAGAAGCATGAAATTCATTTTACAAAGGCTCAACCTTTATGTTCATTTTTCTGTTTATCTTTGTCATCGTCTAAATTAATCAATTATTTCTCTACTTCATTTTGTACTGAAGTATTTAACGTAATATTAATCTTATCAACGAATGTACTATCGAAATAGGTTACTTGAATTATTATATTCATTAATAAAAAATAGATTTTCAATATTTTTTTCGTTACTGATTTCTATTATGATTTTCTCTTGTTTGAACATATTTGTTTAATAGAATAAAAAGTCTATAAAAGTGATTTTTGTTCTTTTTATCGTTTCTGTTAAGTTATTTTAGAACTTGAAATGATTCAGCATTGTCATTGTGAGGTGAAGACATTTGAATAATTTGTATATTTACTTCTACATAAGCACACAGATCGCTATATTGAACAATAGAACATACAACAATCATATCAAGAAGACTTTTGAATGAAATGAATTTTCGTTGAATATCTATACTAATCAGTTGACTTAATACTAAGTAATAATTTATAGATTTTCCGTTCATATCGTATAGACAAGTAATGGAAAGAACTTACGAACGACATCAGAAGACGACGAGTCTAAAAATGATATTGTAAATTCATTATAACTATTGGAAAAATCGATTGAAATATTAAAAAATACAAAAAAAAAATTTAAACTTCAAAAGAAAATGACTCAATATTGACCATGAATTTATTCTTAAGACAGGAAGGAAATATTGTAAAATCAGTTAATCAAAGAAAGAAAAAACGACACTTAGAGATATACTCTATTAAGATTTTTTTTTTGTACCATAAAAATTTTTAATAAAGCAAACTGCTTAAATACATTCTTAGTTTAAAAATTAGGTAATAAACAACAAATAAGATTCATAAATTAAACTTACAAGTGTCCTACACATATCATATTCTCTAATCAACTTGATCTTGTGCTCGTAAACCAGCAGGTTACAGTTTATTGATTCCATAGAAGTGTTGCATATGACGTCATATTCATTTTTCTATTAGATCATCTATTACGAAATTGAATACTAATAATGAATTAAGAAGGAATATGAAGCAAGATTAACATAATCATTTACAAATCGAATAGATATCAAATCAATAGATCGAAACGCTACAATAATTCTAAGTGAATTATGAAATAACATAATCAGATGTCATTTGATCGAAAGATACATTATTCATATTAGTTCTCGAAGAATATAGAATTGGTCTGTAAAAAAAAAAAAATAAATGCTGCCTTATTTAGATGATTTATCACGAATAATGAAAGAAAAGAGTTATTGGGAACTCAAAATCTTATGAAGAACGAGAAAAAAAAACGGAATATTTGCATTATTGTTATTTTTAGTATATAATTCATAAAGATTAGCAATATGAAGAGACGATAATCAAATTTGTAATTATTTTGAAGAGTATACATAAAAACTTCTTCTTATATTTAACGTTAATATCAATATGTGTTTGTACATGTAACTAATCACATGCTAATTTAATATGCTGTGTCTTTACCTTATATTATCAAGAATATAATTATCTTTATCATCATTCTTATAGAATACAATGAGTTAAAAATTTTTCTTTTGATTCTAAGTATTTTCAAGCTATTGTGATAGATCTATAGTGTAGAATTTGAACAGTTGTTTGTCTTCATTTTAAATAATGACTTACCGAGACACTAAAAAATTGACTACAATGGTATTCACATAAAATATCCTTTCACCATTTGACCCAGTATCCCCTATCATCAATATTAACTTAAGTGAACATTATATGTCTTCTAAAACATATCTTTTCTTATTCTGTATATAAGAATAATATATTTTTTTTTGCACTACTAGAATTTGCAATGCGTATAGCATAACAAGTATATGTGTGTCAACAAATTTGGACATACAATAACAATAACATTCATTCGATAAGAATTGTAACAAATTCAGAAACCCTAGCGTTGTATCACCTTTATTAAAGATATTTGTTCAAAAAATAAATTTGAAAATACAATAGAAATATTCAAATGTAGTCAACTATTATCAATTATTCAATTGACAATTGATCAAGCAAAAAATCAAATATTTCTATTATAAAATATCATATTTTCATTTTCAACTACTAGAAGAATTTAGTTTGTAACATATGAACTTTTTTTTTTTTTGTTTACTGAATACGATAGGTTGTATAAATATAATTGAAAAGAAGGACATATATATTATATAAATCTTCTTATAAAGAAATGTTTTTAGTATTGTTCTTTACATTTGAAGTATCTCTCTTTTTTTTTGACTGTTCTTACAACACACAATACTTCACAGGTTTGTCTTTAAAAGAACAAAAAAAAAAAAAAAACGGCATGTGGTCATGAGTTCGAACATAATACTTCTATGTTGCTCTTGGCTTTTTATTACACATACATTTTTTTTTTCTTTTACTTTTGAATATAGTTACTTCTTTCGATTATGTCAGATAAAACATGTCTATGATAAATGATTAACTTCATTTTAGTTCAGCATCTCTCAATGTAAGATGGAATATTAATCCATCTATATTTTATCTGATTCAATGCTATAAGACAAGGAATTTTATTCATTTACATCTGAATGATATTAATAAATTTGTAAGTGAATATATATATATCAGAAATTTTAATTTCTTTTTTTCCTTGATTATCTAACTTTATTTATATGAATGTTTATTTATTTACAGCATTCAAGCACATATCCATATGTGTGGACAAATGTAAAAACAAAGTGAGTTATAATGAATTTATATTTTACTTAATATCCTTTTTTGAGTCTGATATTAATTAATAATAATAATTCATTTGTTTTTTTTTTTAGATTTTCGATTTCGGTTGGTATCTCAGATTAATAGTATATTTTATTTTTAATGTTTTATATTGATGTGATAAGTTTTAAATGATAATTATAGAAACCAGCGTTTCATTGGGATGGTTCGCCTCATTATATTTCCTTCTTTGGTTCCAGAAAAGGCCTTCAAAAAAATTTTTGATCAAGTGAATCCTTACGTAAATATATCGATTTTTCATTAATTATTTAATCTCTGATTTTAATTAGACGATTTCTTTTTGTCAAATAGCAACACTTATTTTTTTTCAATTTTTCTTCATTGGTTTGTTAATCTCCTCGTGGAGTTTTAGGACATCAATTGTCATTCTTTTCAACAGTGTTCTTTTCTTTTGAGATTTTTTATCACTTCTTATTTTTCATATTGAATTTTTTTTTTTGTATGTAAACAAGATTACAACATCTATTTTGCATACCATAGAACAACATTGAAGTGTCGAACGTTTGTTTTCATTAATTGCATATTTATATATATTACAAATTTTTGTTCGCTTCGTTTTATGTAAATCACCCGTTTCATGAAATAAAAAGAAATCAAGTTTAAGAATTTAATATTTAATTTCTAAGATTTTTTATATGCTTTATTTATATATATAATTTAAGTAATGATTCATTATTATAAACTTGTTTGAGTTCAAAAAACGTTCAATTTATTATCAAATAAGTTGAAAAAGTAATTTATTCTGTGGATTGAATAAAGTATAAAACAAAAGTAGATTAAGATATAAAGTTTCATGCTTACATTAGTTGTAGGAAGGATTATAAAACAATTATTCGTATACAAAAATTTTATGGTCTCAATTTTTCAGTTCAATTGATTATTTTCATTATGAAAAACATTGTCAATTTTTTTTTGAGTCTATATAAATAAAATATTATCAAGAAATAGTTCATTATGTGATAATAAACAGTCAAAACTATATTTAGCATCAATTTTTTATCCTTAGTCATTTCGTTATATTATTTAAAAATTTTGTTCGATAATAATACTAGTTCCTTGGAATGTATAGTTGCTTGATAATGAAATACAATTTTCATTACTATATTTTTATTAACTTAATATCACAGTGAAACATATTAATATGTTATATACATGGTAATATATTGTCATTCGTCATTTTTTTAAAGTTGTATTGATACTGCTCATTCTCTACGAAGTATTATATGTTAATATAGACTTTTCTTCTCATGATACCTGCTAGGGAATACTGAAAATGAACATTATCTTTTGTCAATGAATGCTGATTTTTTGAGACTAAAAATATGATTTCATTTATAAAATCAAACTACTACACATATGAAACATTTGTTATCCTATATCCAACACGTTCAACTAAATACAATTATATAAGTATCAGTAGACTAAGATTTCTCAGCATAGTTAATCATAGCAGATAATCCAGAAGACTTGTCTTATTTTGTATAAGAAACGTTTCTGTATTAATTAATGTATTTGTAAAACTATGTAATTCTTACAGAAAAAAACGTAATAGAGTAGAATCTTCAAAATGAGTATAAATTGACCTTGTTAGATCGTTTAAAAGAAAGAAAGTTATAGATATAGATACGTCTATTACATGTCAAAGGAAACAACTATTGAAATATTGCAAGGAAAATAATAGACTACTTGTAACTCAAATAATTATTTCATATATGTGAATCCATTTTAGAATTCTGCTAAAATTAAAACAATATCTTAGATGTTCATTAAATATACACAATATCGTGTATTAGGTTTTTTTTGATGTGACAGAAAAAAAAAACACTTGAACAAAAAACAACACTGTGAAAGAATTATGAAGAAAAATAAAGCCAATGTTAACAAGGGGATCAATAGAAACTTGAATACTGCATATTACAACAAGAAGCATTGAAATAGAAAGGCTTAGAGAAGCCGGCAAAAAATGAATTTATCTAAAAAAAAACGATCAAAGTGAAACCATAGTAGTTTTCCAATTGTAATAGTCATTGTCAAGGTTAGAATTCCTTTCTGTTAGAGAAAGAACTATTGCACGATATTGTGTATATTCAATGAACGTCTAAGATATTTAATGAATTATTAATAAATTCTTAAGTGGGTCTACATATGTGAATTAATTATTTGAATTACAAGTAGCCCATTATTTTCTTTGTAATGTTTCAAATATTTTAATAGTCGTTTCCTTTGAAATGTAATAGATGTGTCTATGTCTATAATTTTCTTTCTTAAATGACTTAACAAGGTCAATTTATACTCATTGTAAAGACTGTATTTTATTGTATGTTTTTTTTCTGTAAAAATGATGTAGTGATAGAAATACATTAATTAGTATAGAAACATTTCTTACATAAAATGAGATAGAACTTCTCGATTACTGTTTATTAAATACTATGTGTTAAAAAAATTCTAGTTCACAAAATAATTGTTTAACATTGCAAAAAAAGTACCAATCAGAATACGAATACAATTTTTCTTATGAAGACTACTACTCAAATAGCACATTAGGAAATATTTCTTATATTTGTAACTATGAATGAAAGATTTAAGCTAATATGAACATTATTTGAATATAAATTAGTACTTAAAATGGATCTACATTAAGCCATAAATGACTGAAGCGAAGATCACATAATTCTTTCATTATCAGTTGCATTGGAAAATCTCGATCATTTAATAGAATAATTATGAGTTTTCTTTTTTTAGTAAACTTATTTTGAAGTAATCATAAGTTATCGTGATTTGTATGCATAATAGTTACAAACATATATATATATTTCAAATAATGAAATGAATAATTTAAATGAAAGTTATTTACTGAAATCGATCTTTTAGTCAGTGAAGAACAAGATATCACTTTAATATTGTACTTGTAGATATATAATTAGTATGGTAGAACTATTTAAAATAGAATAAATTATTCTTTTCTCACAACGTTTTTTTGGTCAGTTTAACTGTTCAGGAATATTTTTTTAATGTCTGGTTTTTTGCTGTTTTATTTTCATATGTTTTGATAAAATAACTTTTACTTATAGAGTTAATTTATTAGATTATTCAACATGTGCTGTGACTGGTGGAGGTGGTGGTGATTGATATATTGATGGGAGATTGCCAGTTGCTACTTCGTAAGATGGAGGTGGAGCTTCATATATACTAGGAAATACTTGAGATTGTGGTGCGACACCAACATTATTCATAGATCGCATATAAATGACTCGCACTGAACCTCGAAGAGCCTGTAGTTGATGGGAACTTGTAATACTTGTCGGATTCGAATTAATGCAACTAACATGAACATGTCGTTGACGTTGTTGAGAATGCATATAACAACTTAAACATGCAACGAAACACAGCATTAAACTAATGACAATAAAGGCAATAATAGCTGGTGGAAGACTTGTTGAATATTCGTATGAGCCATGACCACGTCCTGATGTTTGATTGTCTGTCAGAAAAAGAGAAAAGAAATGGAAATAGTTATATTTTTTCAGAAATTTGACTTATAAGGTTAAAACCATCAATAATATATGCTACAGAAACTTTTTTCGGTGTCAAAAAGAAGAAAGAGAAAATTTTCATATTTCTTTTAAGTATTATTTTTAATATATATATATATATATATATATACCTAAATAATCATAGTTGCAAAAGATATTTGCCGTTGTAAAACTAAGCAGAATAATGAAAAAATATATGCAATTAATTGATGATGTAAACATTAGTATATACAAGAAGAAGAACACTGCTGTCTTGTTTAGTTCTCCCACTAGAAAAAGGACATTTATCATTCTCTTGTCTAAATAATACTAAAGATAATATCATGTTACAGACAGATAAGAATTTAACTTGGTCGTTGGATCGATGCTTCATGATATTTTTTACCAATCAAATATTTATTTAGAAAGAAACACAAATTGACTAAGTCTAAAGGACTGTCTCTTACAAAATTAGACAGTTGATACCAGAGATGTTGGCGGATTGTCCCGTTTTCATTCAACCCGCCTGACCCGTGGACAAGTTGAACCTTTGACGGGTCTTGGGTTTACCGGTTTCACGAGCTGGGTTATATTTTTACGTGTACTCGCAGATTCAACCTGTTTACAAATTTTGCTTTTCATTAGAGTAATTCAAAAGTTCTGCATTGATTTTCTTTTTGATGCAGCACTGTGTTGAAATGTTGTAGAGACTTTATTGATTTTTTTTGTTAGAAAGAGCAAAGTGTATAGTAAAAAAATATATTATAGAATTCGATTGGGAATATTATTCAAAAACCTGAAAATGTTGTAAACAAAAGGATTTGGAAACTCTTCCGTAACTTTTGTTTTAGCTTAGAAGAGATGTCATCGCATTAGATCAATTATATGTATATTCGTCGAATTCAAGTTGTACAAGATAGGGGTATATAGCATTGTTGCTGTAAAAAAAACTCTACATATTTTATAACAGTCAAAATACACGAGTTTATTCTCTTTTGGCATCGTTACTTGTCATTCCTGTTGATTAAAGTGGTAAGAATGAAGTCTATTGCCATAACCTATAGATTTTATATTAAAAAGAAATCTTATGCAGTTCTCTGCTAAACCATATTACTTGAAACAGGATGGAGATTCTCTATGAGAGGCATTAAGTCAAACATTTTTTTTTTCCTTTGAAATCTCAAATCGACCAAATAAAGTTTTTAAATGACATCATCTTCTATACATTCTCTTGTATGCCAGACCATTTATTTTAATACTATATGAAAGTCTTTATTATAATGTACTGCTGTATACATAACATATTTTAGAAGACCGACAATGGATAATAAAGCAACTCAAAGAAATATCTTCTAATAAAAAAAAAAATATAATCCAGCTAATTTTCAGAAGAGTTTTCTGATGTTTTTGTTGAAGAAATTTTCTAGCCTTTGAAAAAATTTCCAATCTAATACTTGTATGTATTTTTGCTATAGATACTATGGTCTTTCTAACAAAGGAAACAAAGAAGTGTACGACATTCTATCAGAGTGCTGTATAAAAAAAATATAGAATGTTGACATCATCTGTCCTAAATGCGATTTTCTCTCAAGTTTTGATCACAGAGTGTAGGAGAAAATAAGAGTGGCACCTACGCTACCTCAAACAACATCTATTCTATTAATATTGTATATATGATCGTATTCTGTTACTTTTACATCAATATTTCTTGTCTTGAACTTTAATTGAGATTTTTTGTAATGCTTCCACATATGGTCAGAAGTAAAAAACAATATTTTAATTATATAAGTCTTAGTTTTACAAGTAAAAAACGAATGCATCAGTGAAAAACTAATGAATTTGTAAGTAAATATTATACGAATAAAGTTTTCATTAACCCGCGAAGAGCTCGTGACGGGTTGATGATTCTTCAATCCATCATGAGCTGAAACGGGTCAAGAAAATCAACGACTAACATCTCTGGTTGATACACAGGCTTTATATTTAGAGATAAAGTACTGTTTTACAGGTATTCTAAACTATAATTTCAACTTGCGTGTATTAGGTATTTTTCAAAATTGCTACTTGAAAACATAATCTCTGAGTTCTTTTTTGTGTTCTAAAAAAAACCATAAATGTCAAAGAGTTATTTACAAGTAGATATCTAAGTGATTATATAATCATGATTAAGATGTACATATTTGCACAGTCAACAATTCAAGTTTTTATCTTTCGAAACTTGAAATTTATAACATGTAATCGAATTAACAAGCAATCGTTTCTTGAAAATCTATGAATTTGTATGATGGACGCTACACAAGATTGAACAAAAATGTGAGGTACTGGGTTAGACAAGTAGAATGAGGAAAAAAAAAGATCATTAGTGCAATCATCATTATTATTCAATTTGATGTGTAATTATATTTATTGTACAAGAAGACTCGAATAATAATAGTCTGTTCATTAAAAGTATATTTGTACAGATAATCTACAATCTATTATAAGACGAGCAGTTGTCAGTCAAAGTTATTCTACAATCAACTTTGACTTTTAATTGTTGATTATTAAAATTGAACTTGTTTTCCTTTACTCTTGATTGAACCTGATGTTCTAGTTGAATTTGGAATTATCCATTTAGGTCTATACAAAAGATCATTCCAGATATTCAGATCGATCAGATTCTTCATCTTACTATATGTTTTAGTAACCAATTATGTACTGTATTTCTCAATAACATAGAATTATTCACATTCAATAATACTACATGTAATCGTTTACATGAGTTTCTCTTACATTGTTTCGATTTTTATGGTTGAGCAAATATATCTTGTTCACGTATAGCTTGTTTCCAAAAATGCAACTCCACTATTAACGACGATTCTGTGCATTGTTACAGATGAAATATGCATTGATAAGTTCTAAGAAGACGAATATCCGTCTTTCTATTATGCTCAAAAACTTAGTTCATTTGAAATAATCTATGATGCTTTTACTGAATTATTGCTAATAATTATCGATGGTCAAAATCATACTAATGAAACTGAATGTGAATAATGATTTTACAATAATACATATACATATTGTGATGTTATTTGGCATCGTCTCAATCGAACTAATGAAATAAATTGTGATTCTTTACCATTGATAAATTTTCTATTATATCATCGTATATGTATATCATCTCGCAAAAAATCAATTTATGTATTTATCTGTTGGTGAAACCAACGATGGTAACGCTGATTGTCTTAGTGCTATGAATGTATCAATACTTTGCCGATCTATTGGTAATAAATTTAAATTAGAAACTTTTTACTATCATAATGGTAGATTCAAGTCATGTATATCATATCGAAATTTGTGTAATAATTACAAAGATTGCGAATATGGAGATCGTGGACAACTTTGTGATATTACTTGAAACTTGACAACATATAAAAATATATGTAACGAAAGATATAGATTGATTCGAATTGTATATTTCTCTTTGAATCCTATTGAAAATTCGATAAAAAAACAGATTAAAATGCAATTCTACCAAACTTGGCTATAATTCAAAATATTCATAATTATCAACAACGTTGCCATCATAGTCTTGATTTACAAGTTTGATTAGATGATAAAAAAAAATTAAACAACAAGAACATGTCTTTGTCCATCGACGTAGTTTTTATCGTAAATTTATGTCAATATCAAAATCAACGAGTTAGTCTAACAATACAATTGCGAACATTTATCTGATTCTTGGCAAATATCATTTATTATTATTATTATTATTATTTCACATATTGATAATAGTTATCAAAGAAAAACTCATTCATATCAACAAAGAAAAATGATCGAACAATATTTAATATTTATTTACTTTATACAAATCGATCTTAAAAATTTTTCAAAAAAATTATTCAATATATATTGATATTTATGTAAAGATTTCATTACCTTACCGAACAAGTTCATCTTCCAGCGTAGTAGTGTAATAGTTTTCATTGATACTTGCTTGAAGTGATACAATAATTTAAAATTGCGAAATAACTTCTAATATCTACAAGTTTTTCTGCTGTCATTTTTCAAGTCTTATAACATTCCGTATAATTTGTTTTGCTATTTAATAACACACAAAATGAGCGAAAATGTGGTGGAAATTAGTTACCATAGTAGTGATACCCTATCAAACGCAAAATAATAACAAAAGAGTTGAACAATGAATGGTTGATGATGATTTGAAATAGCACATATTAACCTTTTTCTCATCAAAATCATTCTAATACGAGTAAGAATTATTTGTACATGTGACTATTTAGATTTGCAAGACTTAGTAATGATAGCATCAGTTTTTATTGAACTTAATTTATTTCAATAAGTTAAAATATATGTATGCAGTGTTAGTAAGACTATGTAGATGAAAAGAATGAATAAAAAGAAATGGAAAAGAGTTCATAGTAATGACCACAACAATCATATATTTAGCACCAGCCAAAATTTTGAACCCAATAGGCTCCGTAAGGACCGCCTTGAGCATATCCGACGCCTAATGCCTTAAAACCTTTGTTCATCAGATTGGCACAGTGTCCTGGGCTGTTGATCCAAGCAGTGACTGTCTTTTCAGGAGTTTGATTGCCAGCAATATTTTCGCCACCGGCACAATCCCTCGAATAGCCTGCAGTTGCTATGCGATCAACAAAACTGCTTCCATCTTTACCTGTATGAGAAAAGTAGTTATAATAAAGCATGCTTTTGGCATGATTAGTTGCAGCGTTGCCTAATTGATTATTCCACTTAAGAGCCGATGTGGCGGGATACCAAGTCGAACCACAATACCGGCCCTGCTTCCGTGCTTGATTTGTTAGGTCGAATACACTTTGCTGATAAGAGTTGCTGGAACTTCGGCGTTCGAAATCTTGAACAACAATACCATCATCATCGTCTTCATCATTGTTACTGATCGATCTTAGTTCTTCACTAGAACTGAGCCCTGGCTCATCTATCGATTCAGCTGTGCCTAATATTGTACGGAGTTGTAAACGATGACCATTTGCTGGCCATGCATGGGCCAATTGTCCAAGACCCAAACAAATAAAAGCCCAAAACATCCACGTAGTCATTGTATAAATTTCACAAAACTTGACTAAATAAAATAGAATATTTTCAGATCTTTCCAATATATATATATATATATATACGTATTATAAATAGTGTACCTTGACAGTAGTAATGAAAACAGAATAAATATTCATATAAAAACAATCCTGCTGTTTGATCTATTTCACAAGTCAATCAGTAATAGATAAAAAATTCGAGAGGAGCTATTCATAGAATGTTAGAATTTGAATAGTTCGTTCTTTTTAATTTTTCCATTCATTCGATACGCATTTTGACATTTAGTTTTCGATCATACGAAGGATGTTGGTGTGGGTATGGATAAAGTGAAGTCAATACCCACACCTTAGAGGTAAAAGCAAATTATCGGATATTAATGAATAAGATCTTTGAAGAAGATCTATGAGAGAAAATTTGAACTATTCGTAGTCAACTCGTAAAAATCTTATCTCAAATATTCAAAGCTATGAACTAAGTTTTTTTATAGTTTTCACCTAATGTGCAATAATGTCTAACTTGAACAAAATTGATGTTCACTTAAGGGAGCCACTCCTGTCTGAGACTTCTAGAAAACAGCTCATCAGAAAAATTTGAAACTCTCAGATTAGATAGATCTCGATAAGTAAATCAAAAGTTGTCTTAGACTGAAAATCTCCAATTGCTTTCTCCTTGGGAGTATCGCAGTCACAATGGCTAAATATCACACTCCGCCCCCCCCCCTCAACTGCACTGTTTTCTCGCCCGAAATACGTCCCATACAGCTGAAATTCTTTTTTTTTTTTACATATCCTAGACACTGTTTGAAGTACCAACGTTTTTCTTTGGTTTTATTTCAGTCCTCTAATAAAAGTTTCAGCTTGATCGAGCATACTGTGCCAAACAAATGGATGTGATTCTGCACTTTTCTTGTGTAAAAACTGATTTCGAGAAAAACGAAAAAAAAGTTTTCCTTTATGTGTTAGGACTTGTTTTCTCCAACTAAATTAATCAAAAACTGATCTCGTTCTGTGATGTAAGAGAAGGTTCATGATCCATACTCTAACAACTTTTGAATGAGAAATAATCTTTATCATTAGAGGAAGTTTATATAGAATAGAATAATCGTAGCGTAAATACGCTGCTAGTGATTTTAAAAGTTAGATTTAATAAATGCATCAACTAACAATGAAGAGCACCCATTTATATGACATTTAGCAGAGGACCCTTCAGGACTGTATTAGTGATGAAAAATCAAAAATAGAACAATTTTGATTTTCATGACCGGAAAGGAGAGAAGAAGGATCCACTTCAGCCCGTATTTTTGTCGACAAAAATAAGTTATTGCTATTTTGTATCAATCGTACAGAGCCTAAATGAATTTCCTTCAGATCCAAGTATGATTTGAATCTCCAACAGAAATATCACTTACTTAAGATTCAGTTATTTTATGTGCTTGATTTTTTGTATGTCTATGATAAGAATATTTCAATGTATTTATATACATTTTTCTCTTCGTATTTTTTTTTTCATTTACTTTTCCTTCAATACTTTTATTGGTTCTTTATATTTGTCAAGCCTGTTGATTACCAACGGTACCACTGCAAGCCACGACCTGTATTGATACATGAAATTCATACAAATCACTCTTGATATGCTTTTTTTTAGACGCACTTCTGTAAAAGCAAACGTCAGGCGATATGACTTTTTCATATTATCATCATTTTGTTATAACATTTTCTAGACTCGTGCCATACGAAAAGAGAATATGCATGATATAGAATCATGCTATTTTTTATGTTGATAACTAAAGAGTTAGTTTTGGTTAGTTTAGTGTGAGAATTATATAAAAAAAGATTTCGAATTTCCAGTATTTAATATTTTCTTTTAGTTCTCCGAGACAAATCTTAGTGATCTTTATTTATCGTGAAATTCTCTTCATAATATTAGATGTACTATGAAGATAGCTGTTTGAGTAACAAATTGAAACAATGAAACAAAAATCTTCAAATATTTTCCAGTACGCTTAGCCTTTCTTTTGAATAGTATTACAAACTGCTTCGAAAATGTTAAAATTTCTATTCAGATACAATCTTCAAAGAGACCTTACATGCTAATATATTTGAGAACAGAACATTGACGACGGAACAAAATCGTGTATTCTAATGCCATATTTCATATATTAGTCAGCAGTTATGGACTTCTCCTGAGTTTTCGCGCTATCCAAAGGTGAACATTTTGACAGTCGTACACGATCAGGTACGGCCGTATACAGTATAAATTATGACTAACGTGAACGACTGTGTACAGTTGCATACGACGTAGTATGCTATCCTATTTACGTATGCTACTTCTCATTCGTACTCAAATTGATTTAGAAAAAATAAAAATTATTCATTTTAGAATAAGTATTTTTGAATATACTGCTCGATGTAATCTAAAAGAAATGACAATTATTCATTTTAAATAAATACTTTCAATTCAATTTGTTGTTCAATTCCATATAAATAAAAGAAAATAACATCGTCTATTTTACAATAAATATTTACTGTTTAATCTGGTATTTCTTTAATCTACATAAGAAAAACAAAATTACCCGAATCACCATTAACTTACGACCAAATCCGATCGTGTACTACACTCGTCCACGATTGTCGTTTACGTTCATCATATACATTATCCGGGTTTGAATGTACGGCATCGTATACGTTCCTAGTATACGATGGCCGTGTATGACAATTGGTTGTTGTTGTCGTATTATGTAGCAGTATTGCAATCGGTAGAGCTGTTTCCTTACCAGTATAGGTACCGGTCTAAACCAGTCAGATCGGACTGAATCGATCGGTAGACTAGCATGAATAAATGTTCGTATTTGTTATCTTATAAGAGTGAAATTAATCTCTCGATTAGTCATACCTACCTTTGAATCACTACAGAAATCAGATGAGGCTTCTGTTTTACTATGATAGTGCTTTTGTGAAACATGATGGCCAACAAATGTTGAAGTATATAGCGAGAACATTGATCATATCTCCTCCAGCTTGCTCCAAAGATCGCGACAAACATGCTGATGTTCTTTTAACCTCTTGACAGACGGTGACCACGATTTCGATATGTCTGTAATAGCCTAGTGGATTTTCTGACATGCTGTTTTTTTGGTCCCGTCATAGTCTGTTATAAAGTATGTGAGCTTCATTGTCAGACAGACTTGTATAAAATGGACTTAAATTAATACACTTGTGACATACGTACGGACTAGACTTGAAATAGATAAAAAGTTCTATAGAATAGCTTTGATATATCCATGGAGCATGATGAAGTACGAGTAAAGTAGGGAATTTTCGCTTTTCCCCCCTCGAATTCCTAAAATAGTTAAAGCAGTTCCATCACGTTTAATATTTTAATCTCATAAAGATTGTGCCGAAAGCTTTTTCTTCACTATCTGTTTCTATTAAGTTTTCTCTCGTTTGGAATCTATCGATGGACGTAAAATTTCATAGAACTACAACTTCTATATTAGCTTTGTACACTAATGAACTGTTTCTCATAGACATAAAAATTCTAAATCAACTGTAGATGCATTCGGCGTCTTTCAACAAGTTTACTTTGTTATCTCTTGTGTCTTTGTGAAAGATTCAGTATAAATAATACGAAATGAAAATAAATATATAATAAATTACAGTGGCAAACAATGATTCTATTTTGTTTCAATAATATAATCTGATACAGAAATAACTTGATAAAATATATTAGGTGTATTTTGATGAATATTGACTTAACAGAAATATTCTAATCCATGCTTCTCCATAGAAATAGTGATTGATATCAGTAAAATTGGTTTGACAAGCACAAATAAACACAGCTAATTATTATCCATTATTCGAATAACAGATGGTAGAACGGCTATTATTCATGCCTTGAAAAGAATAAACACAAAGGAAAGAAAATAAGTCTCGACTGTAATTCGAATCCAGGTAGTATCACGTCTAGTAACTAGTCAGACGCTATTACCAACTAAGCTATCGAGACACAATCTTAACTCAAATTTAAATTCCATCTAAACATTTATTTCAATCTTTTTGAGTGATATTCCGAATAGAGACTTCCTTGTAAGAAGACTAACTCTAATCGACCTCGATAATTGAGGACTTGAAAATATGCCTGTCTATGGCTGTTGAATTAAATTATATATAATTATATATAAATGTATATGACAAGGCTTTTCTTTATTAATTATCCGAATAAAAGATGGTAAAATGGCTATTATTCATTATTGAAAAAAAAATTAAATAAATATTCCATTGAATTGAATTTGAGTTAAGATTCTGTCATGACAGGTCGGTTGGTAGAAGTTTCTGACTAATGTCCATTTTAGAGCTAAGTAGATGTGGGCATTTTTTTGAATAACTTTAAAACAAAAAGAGAGATAGAACTCAGATTTTTAGCACTATCTAAACTTGATATTGTTCTATCTTTTCACAAAGTCGACGAAAAATTTCAGTCACTTTTTTTTCTGAGATATATTCTTAGTTTTGAAGATAACCCTAATTATTTTTGAAAACAATATGCTTTCTCAACTATAATATAATGGATAGATAGCCTAGCTTCTCCTCTATCGATTCGCATAAGGGCGAACTCGCTAACTATTTGTGTTCTAAAAATGTGAAGATTATACTGAAGACTACTCATTAAATTTCTTCAAAATCTGAGCAGTTAACAAATACTTTCTTCTATAAGTTTTTAGTCGTCTTTGACTTTATGACATGATTTATTAACCTTCGAATTTTCTTTTTCCACTAAAAACGTCATCAAACAAAAAACATCCATT